CATATTCAAACATTAAATGTTGCTGGTTTAGAGTTTAGACCTAACCGTCCAATGTTTTTACCATGGTCAATTATACATGGCTCTGTCACGTGACACATGCATAAATAATTTACTGGCCCCAGAAGATGAGACATTTAATATGGTGTATCCAGAAATATTGAATGCTTAAGGCAAATAGTAATTGAAAATTAAAAAATATTTGTCATAACAGAATACCTTTAACCCGCCGAAGGTGGACTACCCACTTTCCACCTATTTTTTTTTATTCACAATTAATACGTTCAAAACCAAAAAGAAATAAGGGTAAAAAAATAATAAAAATTGGCACGTGCAAGGCCGGACAAGATCTAAAGTACAGGGTGGGGGGGACTTTCAAGCCCATTTTATTATTTTTGCGTTTTTATACATTTTCAAGTGATTTTTTTTCAAGGCTTTTTGACGTTTTTAAGTACTGTTTTGTGGATTTTAAGAACATATAAATCCGGTCTCTAATTATGACAGTCGAGTTATTAATTTTGTGTTAATATAAATTAGCAGAAAAAACGTAAAGGTATAAAAGGAACGCCGTAACATCTGTAAGTGACGACTATTATATAGTACATGCGCTCTCCCAAAGCTGAGCGTTCCTACTCCATGATAGGTTAGATTAGATTTCATTTCTTTTGAAATTTCCTCCCCCCTCCAAAATTCGGTGTTTACATATTTTTGGTATGATAATCATGAAAAAATGTCTCAACAGAACACTTTTAGTCAGCCGAAGGTGGAATACCTACTTTCCACCTATTTGTTTTCATTCAATACCAAAAAGTAATGTAGGTAAAATAAATAATCAAAACGGGAAACAACGGACGGACAGCTAGTACATAATAAAAATACAATGTAAAGAACTTTATAAATTAATAATAAATTTGTTTTTATAGATCAAAATGTAAAAGGCGACTGAGTATAAAAACTAAATGAATACATAAAAAAAATTTTTTACAAATTGGTCGTTTTACATAAAATATATAAATAATTTATTTTAATAGGGAAGATTATTTAAAATTAGTTATTATTAAACATAGATTTATTAAGAAATATAAATTATTTGGTTATTATTTATTATCTATAATGTATTGATATAAGATATTATTTTTATAATCGATTTGAACATTTAAAATATTATTAAAATTATTTTTTTTTATTTCATTGTGTAATTCTTCTGAAACTGAATTAATGTAAATATTATTTTTAAATAGAAATTTTAAAATAAGATATAAAGAACACATTTGTGAAATAAAATTAATAAAGACTGCCCTAATTCAAATTTCATTAAACATGTTTTAGAAGATAACCATAATATAAGTTTTGATATTAATAAAGACTTAGAAATATTAAATACCCAAAATAAATAGTAAATATACAATATTAAATAATATGATTCACTATATTATATATTATAAGCAAAACAAATAAACAATTATAATATAGAATAAATTTAATAAAATATTTTTTAGTAAAGCAAAAAAAAGAATCATTTTGTGTGTTTAGTTTAAGATTGTAATATAAACAAGTTAATGGGTAAACACACAGACATTGTTTTATTGAAAATATTATTAAAATTGCTATTAGGATACTGGCACATGTTTGGCTTTTCTGGTAGTTAAATATAAAATATATTATTTTATTGTGTTTTAAATAACTTTGAATGTCTTATTTTGGACTTTTAAAGTAACTTAATAATATATTGTAGATAAGTTTTTTTTTTGTAGTAATAGAATAGGTATTTTATAATATGTGTTGATATTATATTTTTATCTTGACAAATTATTTACATAATATATTAATAAAAAAAATGGGGAGTGAAATATATAAATTTTCCTTTATTATGTATTTTCTTATTATTATTATTTTGTTTTATATTGCTTGTCTTTTTAAGTTACTGTATATGTGTATCACAATTTAAAAAAATATACAACATTTAATGTAGTTATATATTATTTATTATCTGTTAACAAATATAGTATTTAAAATAATAATTTATGTCGCCCTGAAAAAATTATTTTTTTTTTTTTAATAATAATTATTATATTATATTAATACCTACTAAGTACTAATTTGTTCATAATTTATAAATGGTTTTAATAATTGACGAAACTTGTCACGTCCCATTTTAAACCTCCACAATTTAAATATGAAATACAGCCCGCGAACTGCTTATTTGTCGTGGCGCGTTCGCGAGCAGATCCTCTACAACTTTAGCCGGTCAGTAGTCTAACCATTACCATTCAATAACAGCGTATAACCACTACCAGCTTGCAACCAACACGCGCCCAATTCAAATGGTTCCGTCAACCGTTATTCGTAACTCGTAGGCCAGCTTCAGTAATTACCAAATGTAAAAAGATAATTAATTATGAGAATTTAATTTTAATGATCCTGTAAGCATTAACTGTAAGCAATCTTTTTTTTCATTTTTTGTATACAACTTTCCAACCATTATATCTAATTGGGGTGGTATTTTAAGCAGATAATTTTCAATTTTTCCAGGAGTTTTCCCAATAAATGGGAAAACCTGAGTAAAACATGGGAAATCTGTAGGAAAAAAGAGAAAATAGGTACAATTATAAACAAATATTATTAAAGAAAATATATAATGCCTATGCAATTATTTTACTATAATATGACATAAATATTTTTGAGATAGCACCACTATCAACTAAACTCTGTTCAGAATCGTATTTTCGTTAGTAATAGTTTATCGTTGCTTACGTAGATACATTAAATTTCTCCTCTTTTATCTTTCCCAACTATTCATCTATAAAAGACTTACCCATGTGCGAAATTTTTTTTTGGTTTGTTGTAATTCATTTTAAAATGTTCTTAGACAGTTGAAAATTAGATTGTAACTTATATTTGTCTTTTATGTACATGGTAAAATCTTCAAAACATTTGATTCATGTTTAAGCTTTTAAAAACATTTAGTTTTGTGAGTTTTTTTATGTAATATTTATTCAGTAGGTACTCTGTGAATAAATCAAACATATTTGCAAGTCTAAAAGGCAGTTCGTACAAATTGTTATTAATAGTTGACAATAAAAACGTGAGGTTAATGTAGCATTTTTTTAGATTTTGTGTTTAACGAAGAATGTATTGGTGTTACAAAAATGTTTAATTTTAGATTTTGAGTAGAGCGAGGAATATATTGGTGGTTTTACAATGATGTTTATTTTTTAATTTTTTTTTTGTGTGAACACTTTTTCTACCAGTAAGCACATTCCGATTATCAAGTATATCATCTTTTCTGAAAGGAAATGTTCTCTGTGTAGTACTTTAGAAAGATAGTTTTTTGAAATTCTCATTAATATTCGAGATAATGAGGAAAATCTCGATCATTAGGTTAAAAAAGTTTGAAAGATTAAAAATAAGGTTGTCATTGGTAACCGTTTTTATTTATTTTTTGTTATTATTATTCTAAACTTTTTACCACATAATATGACATATACCATTTATTGTATTGTTGACAAAGCAACACTATCAACTGAACTCCGTTCAGAATCGTTTTATCGTTAGCAATGGTTTATCGTTGCTTACAGATATACATTAAATTCCCGTCTGTATCCTGCCTTCCCAACTTCCCACCTACAACAGTGACTGCACCCACGTGCGAAGTATGTCCGTCCTTTTTATAAGAACTTTAAATATCAAATTTTCATGTTTTTGTAAAAAATTATGTAGGTAAGTATGTATTATGTGGTGTATGATTATTATATGATACATCCAAGTACAAGTGAGTACCTATAATTATGCATATGCAATTATTTTGTCATAATATATATTGTTGACAAAGCAACACTATTAATCGAACTCCGCTCAGAATCGTTTTGCGTCAACAATGGTTAATAGTTGCGCACAGATCTACATTACATTTCGACTATTATCCAGTTTATATACAGATCATAACTATTTAGCACCGGTATTTTTGTAATATACTCTATATAGGTACTGGTTACCTACACCCACTATCCACGTGGTTAAATAAACCAATAACGACGGATTCGTTTTACTATGATGTACTATGATAATAATAACGCATTCACTATTACTGTAATGTTACAATAGAATGGGTTAACTTTGGTCGTGTATAACTATGTAATAATAGAATAATTAAAATAATCATTTATCACTTTGTTAGGTTCTCTGACGTCATCGCGGTATATTAACTGTACCTTTAGTACCTGCAGACTTCTAATTTATTGCTATCCTACCGTATCTAATCTAAAATAGGCATTTATGCTAATTTTGCATTTTTTTTTTCCTTTTTAATTGGCTTTTACAATACAATAATTGAATGGTGGACTGTATGTAGCGATTAGCGATTATAAGTATTTTACATATTCTGTGTATTGTGTCTTTCCCCGTTCTCGTTTGTGTGCGTAGGTATCGCGTATAATGGCATAATAATATAGATAATTAATACCTACATGATTATAATATTTAGTGGCTTTCCATTTATTTTGTCAATTATACTCGTACAACTATATACCTAACTAAACACCTATCTACGGCTATTTGACAATTTTAACGAATCAATGAACGGATTGATTGGGGTGACGGGTGACGAGTCCGATTTTTTAACTTTTTCCTATAATCATCATTAATATATATATATTTTTTTTTTATATATACCTACCTACTTAATACATTATAATAGTAGGTACATAATAGTTATAATAATATAATATTATAAGCTTTTTATAGCCCCAAACCTCTTGTTTGATCGCAGCTGACCGAGATTACACTGTAATTTCGTAGCGAGTTAAAAGATCAACATTTTATTCATTTAATTGTTCCATGGTTGATGTTCTTCATCAAATATATAATAGATTTGTTAATAGCCAATTATATTATGATTTCTAGACAATATTATTATTTTTATCATCTATATTATCAATACCCATACCTATTTTTTTATAGTCAATGTTGTTCAACAAAATTATATTCTCGGTATCCGTAGTACGGTACGTATTAGCGTTTAGCACGTACGCGTAATACCGTCAATTTAATTTGTTACACCGAGGCGGAGGGGGCAAAAAATATTTCCAATGTTGATAACAACTACGCTATCCGCGCGCATCGGGCCTGTCATTGTTGTTATTATGAATAATAGGTATCTGTCGATTAAATTAAATTAAATTTTGATTTGTGTTTTACCGTACCGATATTAATTGTAGAGGTCTTAATCACCTTGTTTTTTCGGTCGGTCGAGCGATTTTATGATCGCTGTGACGCTGACGAGTGATTATTTCCCGCCCTGTTTTTTTTTATGTACTAGTACAAAATAGTGGCTTTTATTGGTGTGTTTCATCAGAAAAATACTAATCTAATATAACACAATGTACCATTTGATTTATAAAGACGTAACAAATTGTTCTACGAATCAGACCGTCGCTCAAAAAGAACTGCCTGACAGATCAAATGGACACGAAGGTTATGGTATGGTAACTTTTATATTATCAATACACAATTTTGAACTAATCTAATTGTTTTATAAGTCATAATTATTTGCATTATTCTAATCTACTTCAATTTCCTAATTTTAAGTACCCTTAATATTTGCATCGAGCTTATTAATGTAGTACCACTAGTATCTAAGTAATAAAGCAATTAATGACCATGATTATATTTACAGAATAATTGTTTGATTTTATTTAAATAAACAACATAATGCTGAAGGACGCACGAATACCATACCTTTGTTATCATTAATGTACTCTGAGTTATAACTGTCAAATTTACTTTGTTTCACTTGTTTATAAAATATAACATTAATGAATAATTTCAAATATGCTTTCTTGAAGCTAATGATTTTCTAAAATTTTATCATTTAGGTACAATATCTTTGAATTATCATTATACCTACCTAGGTATTCAAAATATAAACATTATTAATTTGTGTGAAAAAATAATTAATGGAATATGTAGAGCAATAATAGTTATAATAAGCTTTAATACAATACAAACAAATGTATATTGACTTGGTTATTGTAATGATCAATTATATTTTGTTAATAAAACTTTTTAAATTTGAAACATTGCAGATAATTGTGTATATAATTATCATTTGCTTACAAGGTTTATTATTTTATAGAAAGTGATGATTTATTATTGGAAGATGAAGAGGACAGTCATCCATATTCAGATGAATATGTACAGTTGGAGAGAAAAATGCGCAATCGATTGACATTTTTCTTCATGAATCCAATTGAAAAATGGAAGACAAGGAGGCGATTCCCATACAAATTTTTAGTACAAATTATCAAAATAATATTAGTTACACTTCAGGTAATATTGGATTTTAAAATAAATATTTTGTATAGTTACTGTACTATTTGATATTGAGAATTTTGTTGGTGTTTTTATAGCTTACACTGTTTGCTCACAACCGATACAGTCATGTAAATTACACATGGGGAAATAGAGTTACATTTTCCCATTTGTTCATTAAAGGATGGGATGCAGCACGAGAAATAGTTTCCTATCCTCCTGCTCAAGGTCCATTAGCCATATATAATATTGACTCATTTTATTCTACTATAAACTTTGCAGTAAATGGTGTAAGTGACATTTTTGATTTATACATTTATAATGTTTTAACATACAGTAATCCCTCGTTATTCGCAGAGGCTAGGTTCTAGTAAAGTCTAGCAATCAGCAGGTAACAAAACCGCTGATAATGAGATAATTATTCATTGTGGAAAGAAAGTTGGGTTTTATTTTTTAAATTTTAAAAACACTGATATTTTTTATTAATTAGTTTTAATTTATACAATAAATTAGTTAATTATTCATATATACATACATATAATAGAAAGGATGGAAAAACTTTGTGATATAGATATTTTTTTCTTTTTATTTTCTGTATGTTTTGATGTAATGCACATGTGTACCTATTATACATTTATCTCTAGAAGCGTAGTATTTATGTACATTTATTAGTTATACATAAAAATGATCTGATCCTGTTTAAAACAAATTATAGCATGGTTAAAAAATCTGTGGATAATAATGGATTACTGTATTCTCATTAAATAAATAAAAAAAATTACCTAATGTTAATTGCTAGTTTTAAAACTGAAAGTTATAATGTTTATATATTTATGACAAATTATAATTCTTAATAAAAAAATGAATGACCAGTATAACACCTCAAACAAGATTGTTAAATTTTATTAGGTGCATACACTAGAATTTTTAATGTTATTGATTTTTCAATTCTCTTGGTTACACTGGTAGAAATGTTTATTAATACTTTGTATTAATCTAATAATAAATATTTCTAAACAACAATAGTGTATATTATATATCAGAGCTCGTGACTTATAGCATTTGCATAGTATTTGTTTTGAAAAGTCCTAGTAACACCTAAGTAAGTTACAAATTTGTTTCAGATAACCAAGAAGTCAAATATAAAATTTTTTGTTGCATGTTTTGAAGTTTTGATGCTATTTTACTATTTTAATGTTTTTAGCGCTATTTGAGGTTTATATCGGCATTTTAAAGAAGAAAAATGAAAATTTCTTACAATGTTAATATTATATTTTCGTTTATCAGTTTAATTGTCGTAAAAGAAAATGACATTAACAAATTATATGGTCATTGTCATTACTTGGTAATTCCATTGATAAAGAGGCCTCTATTAATAATAAAATGATTTTATTGTTGAATGAGTATTATGGCATTATTTTCATTTGGCTTGAAACATTATTATATTAAAATCATTACCAGTTTCTGGTAGGATATCAAACTTATTTTTTTGCATATTTTAACATTTTAAGTGCATATATAAGCCCTTATATGAATGTTTTTAAGATCATATCATTACACTTATAACAACTTTTTTAGAGCTATAAGTCATGAGCCTTGAACATTATAGTTTGAAAATTAAATAAATACATGCAAATAGTCAAAATATACATAACAGTTTAATAGTCTACTTTTAACCAGGTTAAAAATTAGTTTGCATGTTTAAATATGAATTTATATAATAATAAAGGAATTATTTTTATTTGACTTAAGAACTGATTGATCATCTATTTATAAATTGATATTTAATTTTAATGTGTTTTAGTATGCCAACATTTCAAATGCAATTGGATCATATTCCTACTTAAATGAAGATGGTAGAGTTGTAAATCCACTATTTTGTGTGATGCATTATAAAGAAAGTACAGTATTTGGTTTCAATGAAAGCTATTTTTTCAATGGAGAAATAGATCAAGGTAATAAAATAAAGTACTTTTTGTTTTTGTTACTTTTGTTAGTGATTAAAAAATAATATAACATATTTATTTTAATTTTATAGACTGTTTAAATATTACCATAACAACAGATATAAAAACTAAAGGATTTTCGATTCAAGATTATCTAAAAATACATAATAAAACGATAATATTTTCATCATTGTTGAAAGCTAAATTAAAATTTACTTTAAAAACTGTCAACTTGAAGGTTGCTGGGAAATATACACCTCCTGATTGTTACAAATTTGAAATTCAGGTTAACATAAAGTTTGTTTAATTTTAAAAGTGAAGTAATTTATTATTGATACTCTAATGTGTGTGTAAATAATAGGTATATTATAGACACAATTCTAAAATCTTTAAATATGACAACAGTCTGAAATTTTTACAATGAAGTACAGAATATTATGGAACTTCAAAATGTTTCTTTTATTTTATTATAATAATTATCATTATTATACTTATTTCTATATTATTAAAGTCTATCTCTGAACATTAAATATGAATGAAGTGGCATTTGGGGGGCAGGAAGGGTCATTTACCCCACCCTTGACTTTTATGGTTTGATTAAATTTTTGGTACTTATAGCTACTAGAATGGCTCCCCTCATAATGGGTCACTTGTCAAGAACTCACAAGTTCATTTTTATAGCTTTAATATTTTGAATGTGTTATGATTTAAAAATTTAAATAGTGGCTTACCAATGTAACTAGGTACTTTTGCTTTTTTTCTTGTACATTAACATTATTGCATGTATAATACAAATAAAAAAATATTTTTCAATTTTAAATGTACAACTTAATTTTTCTATATAATGTCAATTATATACAAATATTCTAAGAGACTTATAGAACAATTTTATTATGAATGATTCTTCCTAGAATCCTCTTAGACTATATTTTTTCTATTTTGTATTCAAACTCGACCTATTTTGACTTAAAACTATTTCGCAAATATTTTTAAAATTTTTCACAAATTACACAAAAAGGTTATGTATAAGATATTATAAAATATACTAATTTTAGAAATTGGTATCAAAAATTAATTTATTTTGTTCAAAGTTCTAATAGTTAAAAGAAAAATCAAGGGCTTTACATTTCAGATGACATTAAATAATGAAGATATGGATGGACAAGTTTTAGTGGAATTGGATGTAAATCCTTTTAGATTGAATTGTAAAGGTGACATAGAATACATAAGTAAGTCTCACAAATAATTATGAATGTCAACCAATATTGTTTGTATTCATATTTTTCTTTTAGATAACAACCAAGTGGAGTCAACTTTTAGAAGTTTGTTGAATTATTCAATTATCATAACATGTGGTATTTCAATGATATTATGTTCAAGAGCAATATTTAGAGCGCAATTATTAAAATTTGTATGAATTATATTAGCATAATGAATTGAAAATGTTACTTGTAAATATAAAATTGGCTTAATTATACGACTGGCAATTTTTTTATTACAGGAAACTATCAGATATTTTGAGGACATGTTAAAGTCAAAACTAAGCAACAAGGCACGATGGGAATTTTGGAATTTATGGTACATAATGATAATCATAAATGATATACTCATCATATGTGGTTCAGGAATTAAAGAACAAATTGAAAAAAAGGTGTGTTTTACAAAATGTTGAGTAGTTAATTTTTTCTATTTATTTGATGTGTTATATATATGTTTAAAAGAATAAAATGTTATATGTACATTTTGTGTTTGTTTGATGTACAATGCTAATAAATAATATTGTTTTTACAGCAATTTATTGGTGATCAATGGAATTTATGCAGTGTTCTACTAGGAACTGGCAATTTACTTGTTTGGTTTGGAGTCCTAAGATACTTAACGTTCTTTAAAACTTACAATGTAGGTATAGTAATATATAAACAATTGAAATTTATTATAATTAATTATCTCATTTGATTGAGTTTTTAATGTTTGTTATATTTTGTTATTAGGGTGTAATATTAACATTAAGGCAAGCATTTCCAAACACTGCAAGATTTATTTTGTGCGCCATTCTCTTGTATGCTGGATTCACATTTTGTGGATGGTTGGTACTGGGACCATATCATATGAAAGTTAGTATTGACAGCACAATCTTAATACAATGTTCAATACTAAATTAAAAAACTGATATAATTCATGCATGGTCATACTAATTATGATTATACTAATGAATTTTATATTTTTTGATTAAATCAAGTGTAAATAATGTTCATAAGATCTTAATCTGATACTTTTATAAAATTTAAATTTGTATAATTATTTAATTTATAAAGGTAAACATTTTTTTTTTAAACTAATTTTTCAGTTTAAAAATGTTTTCATAATACCAATTTATAATTTATCTTCTTACAGTACAAAATCAATAAAATGTTGAAATGGCAACATACACAATGTAAATTATTTTATTTTTAAAATAAAACACTTATATTAAAATTAATGTCACAATTTATTTATTCAAAGGAATACTTCTATTAATTTACTAACATATTTTACAATTTTGTATACAATTAAAATTATTATAAATTATTATATTATAAAATAGTATATCAAATATCAAGTAAACAATAAAAAGTATAGAATTTTTTTTGTTATCTTATAAAAATAAAATTGTATAATAATGCATTTTTTTTGTACATTTTAGTTTAGATCATTGGCTAGCACATCTGAATGCTTATTCTCTTTGATCAATGGTGATGATATGTATGCCACTTTTACAATTATGGCTACAAAGTCTTCCTTGCTTTGGTGGTTTAGCCGGTTGTACTTGTACTGCTTCATAAGTCTATTTATTTATGTGGTCATCAATTTGTTCTTGTCAGTAATAATAGACTCGTATGAAACAATAAAGGTAAAACTTAAAATGATTTACATTTTTAATGATATATTTATTTTAAATATGCGTTAAAGCTATTATTGCATTCATTTTTAAATAAAGTATGAAATATAAACATGTTATGAATAGATTGTAGTTTTATATGTTTATTGTTTATGTTATGTTAAGAGTTAAATGTAAATTAGAAATACAAATACATACTATTAAATATGTTGTCTGTAAGATTATTGCAGATATGTAATATACATTTATTTATACTTTTGTCTATATTTAATTGAAATTCACTTGATATTATTTTGATGAAATGTGATTTTTTATTCATATAAACTTTTATCATTAACTTGCTCTAAATTGCAAAAATAATGTTTTAACATTTGAAATCTGCTTTTTAAATATTTTCCAAACTAATATTAAGTACCAATCTAATAAATTTGATATGTATGTTTTGAATTTTATAAAACTATAATGATAGTTTTTAAAATTTAATTTAATTTTTTAGAACCAATCCCATGAAAATATACTGATGACTGATCTAGAAAAATTCATGAAGGAAGGCACATTTTCTACATCGACATTTGATATCACAGAAGAGACTGATGACTGGGCCAATTTATCATTTACTCAAACTATTAGAAGTATATTTTGTAGTTGTCGGATGTAAGTGCCTAGGTTTAATATTATAATTTAGACTAATTTAAAAAGAAATATTTAACCAGATTAAACATAAGACAATAATTGACATTTAAAAAAATATAATAATATTCTAAATTTGACAATAATCATTAATATGCACATCATTTGTGGCAAAGGAATGATTTCTTTTGTAAATTTTTAATAAGTTTTATTTTCAGCCTAATGAAAAATGTACGCCAAACATGTATATATATTATTTATCAAAGAAGCAGACATTTAATTGTTTAAAATTGTGAAGATATAGGTTATATCTGTATTGATTTTATATTATTTTCGTTATTCATCATATTCATTATTATTTAAACTCTATATATTTGTATATACCTGTATGTGTATATTTATATATTTATGTTTATTTTACTAAATTGCATTATAGACTGATCACTATTTATATTCCTACATATCTGCACTTTAATAATCAATACAATTATTAGGAAATTAATGTACCTAGTCCTTTTAAATCAATCATCTTTTATGCATTTGTATTAAAATATCAATCACTATATTATTACAGGTACATTGATTGATTGTTAAATACTTTATCTTCATTTAATTTTGTTTTTCTGTGCTGTTTATTTTAAAAACTTGTTTGTTATTATTATTTTTTTTTCAATAGCTCAATGAAAGTACAGGTATTATAATATAATTGTCTTTATGTAGTGATTTTTTTAAATCTATTATTGTAAAACTAAAATATTATTGTTTAAATGTTATGTAATGTTACCAATTTTGGTGTTCAGAAGTTATATTGTTTTATTTATATGTATACTATATCCTATTTTTTTTAAAAAAATGTTTAAAGCGTTAATCTAATAATTAATTTATAATTTGAAAAAATATATAATATTCAAATAAATATTTAAGTATGTACACCTAAATAAGAGTACCTATAGTATATTTTTTCCTAAAGGATATTGAATTATAAGAAACAGTAATTTTGTACTTTCCAATGGATTATTGTAAATAAATGAAAAATTAACATCTGTTAATATTTTTGTATTTAAAATCAGGGTCTAAATCTTAGATTTTATCACTTTGGGTTCTCAAAAATATAGAAATTTGGTTTTAAACTTAAATTTGGTGTTTTCATTGTGCTCTTTTTATATCAGTTATCAATACCTAATAATTTGTTCACTTGGATCCAAATAATTTAATATTCCCATTAAAACACATAGCGAGTGGTGGTTTGTCAGTGAATTTTCTCATAAATAAACCACTAGGTCAATTTATAACAAAACTATATGGAAGCTCGATTAGCTATTTGATTTCCTGTGATATGATGTAGGTATGATCAAGGTGGGTCATTGAGATGGATAATAATATACTAGAGTGCTAACTCTGTGGTAAACACGCATTTGACATTACCACCATCATCAAAGGCCTAAACATTTCATTTTAACATACCATGGACTTATAAATAATGGTTTATTTTCATTTATAATCAAGTAAAAACCTCTGAACGTCATGGTCTTCGTTTAATTTTGTGATTTTATAATGTTATTACTTGTTAGTAGTAATAACTTATTAACCATAAATTATTCTAATAATCTTTGTGTAGATAGTAGAATTTTGTAAATTAAATAATAATCATGGCTAAATGTATTATAATAGTATAATATTGTAATAAGGTGAATAATGGGGTACAAAGCAACTGAATGTATACCCACTAGTCACTTAGATTGCTTATTACAGCCTATGGGAAACAATTAATATAAAATATAAACTATGAAGGGTAACAATAATATACTTATCTATCCTGAACGGAGTATCCTCAATTTTGACTTCGAATACAGGTATAATTATATTTATTTATTATGTTGATGAGAATAGGTAGTAGGAATGAAAAAATAAACTTTTGATTTAGTTAAAAATGATGATGTCGGAATGTTAGAAGCCGGAACAACACGCACTTCGAGAAGATGAAAAAGATGACGAGTCGCTAAGGCAGAATCCGGTGGCCGAAAGAATCGAGGAGTCTTTTATGAGAAAGAAAGGGGAAAAGAGTAGAGTGGTCTTGTCCAGTTCTCATTATCATGTCTTATTATTATGTTGAAATATTGAATTGTTATACATACTATTTTTTATTAATCTAAATTGACTTATAAACTGATAAAATAAAGTGGTGTCCAGTATAATAAAATGTAGTGTAGATAATATTAATGTTATGGAATATTATATTATGATATAACTAGTTGACCAATATTAAAATTATGATATATATCATATTGTATGTATCATTACAATATATTTAGTCATGATAATAAATATTATTTGAATGAATACAAATTATTTCCATAATTTAGTGTATTCAGTATAATGAATAATTATTCAAATAACTCCCATCTCTAGTATCAACCACCTGCAGAGAAGCTGTCAAAAAAATGATTTATATATTTTTATTTTTAGAACATTTTAATCAACATTTTTGTGAGCAATAAGAAACTCATTGGTTTTGTTTACTAAAAATACTATCAATATACATTAAAATATTATGGTTTGTTTTAAAACTTCAAATATTATAACACCTTTTAGTTTAAAAGACTTATATTTTATTTTAATTGTATTAAAGCTGTTACACTATATATTTAATAAATTATAGTAGATAATATGTTTGTCTACAGAAAAAAAAAAAAAAAAAAATTTGGCATTAATAAATGAATAACTAATACAAATAATTTTTTTAACAATACTCAAAAGGGTTATAATAGTCATAATGCACTCATGTCTCTAATCAGAGATTGCATTCATTAAAAATATCTCCAATAGAACTAAATATTTATAGTAAATAGAATAATTATTAAACAATATGTTACTATTCATGTAAAAAATTACAATACTATTTATAAATTAAAAACTAGTAAGTTAAAAAAAGATAAAACTAGTATAATCTTGTCCACTATAGAGATAAATGATTTCTTTATTTTTTTCATTGATTTTCTGAAATTGTATAACCATTGGGCATCATTATTCTAAAACGTTCAACTATTGCTAATTGGGTTTGTGCTAAATTCCTTAGCGAAAATGTATATAACAGTTGTTTTCTTGATTTAGGCAGAGGTATAGCTTTTTCCAAACAATCAATAGCATCCTTTTGTTGTCCACTGAAACACACAAGCACAAATAAAATATAAAAATTATTTAATGAAGCTAATAAAAATAACCTTAAGCATAATTATTCATACATATTAAATAAAAACCATTTAATTAATATTAAACCGCTTTCCCAAACCAGCCTTTTTAAACAACAACAAAAAAAAAAAAACAAAAAGACATTGTGGAAGAAATTTATACATTTACTCTTTTTTTTCCATTCTTATCAAAATCTGGTTAGTAAAAATAAATCAAATAATTTAGTTACAATGTTTTGTTTTAATTGTAATATCATTATTAAAATATTTTTAATTCAAAATTCAAAAATATCTTAACAGAATGGTATTGAAATAAAATAATCATTTAAAAATATTATATACATTTGTTTTTAATATCTTACACTCGCATGTAAAGTGCTCCAAGTGTTTCATACGCAAAATTACATTTTGGATCAAGGTTTAATGCTTGTTCAATGAAACGAAATGCAACAAATATACCATTTATTTTCCATGATGATGCGATCAATGCTGAAAAACAACAATTTATTTCTATTTAGCTAATTGATTTTGTATAGAAATGTGCAGTCAGGGTTGTTACAGATGTTAGATTTTCAAAATCCCTTGATTTTCCAGTATATTTACTATAAAGCACTACATAAATAATATTATATCCATATTAAAAAACAATTTTTTTAAATTTTTTTCTTGACTAAGCTATAGTTGTTTATATTTGTTTTAGTAATAAATATAAATTTGTTTAAGTTAAATATTAATAGCAATACAATTGAATAATACAAGTATATGAAAGTAAATAACATAATAATTAGTCAAACTATTTTAATAATTATTAGGTAAAAACTTACTAGTTTGAGTAGTTAATAAAATATTGATTATTTGGCATTGTCATATTTACTCTACTGGATCTATCCCTGTAACTTAACTCTAGTAACAAATGTCTATGGTATAAAATGACAAATTAGAGACCTTAATATGTAAATTTCCTTTATCATTAACAATGCAAGAAATTTTTTTTAAAATTAATAAAATTATATAACATCTTCAATTGTGATTGGTACTGTTAATATTTTTTTCAGCATTTCAGATTTGAAGTGTAGCAAGGAATCTATTAGTTTTATTATGTGTTTTTTTCGGTCAGTAAACCACTTTTCAAAAACAAACCTCGCTCTAATGTATCAAGTGTTTCTGAAAGGAAATTTTATCTAGTTGGTTTCATTAGAAAGGTTAAATTTTGATTTTCCGAGAGATTTTAAAAATAATTGGGAAAACCTGAAAAGAGCAATAATGAAAATTGATACATCATTACAATTATTTTTGTTGTATTTTGAATTTATGAATCTAGTTGGTGAATACAGAAATTGTTTTTTGATTAAACTTATTTGTTTTTTTTATCAGTGATAAAACATTTCGAATTTTGAGTCATTTATAGATATTTAAATTTTATGAATTGTATATGTAATTTTTCTTTAGTAGGTACTTTGTGAAAAAAATTGTTAGACTAAATATCAGTTTTTATTTTTCATATTTTCCCGAGTTTCCATTAATATCCACAGCAAATTTAAAATTTCCTGTCCATGTTTTACAGGCAGTGCTATGCTATATATCCTAAAACTGAAAGTTTTACACTCAAAGAACATAAGTTTACCTCTATGTACTAGGAAATCGGCTTGGTCTGGATGAATTTCAAGTGCATTTTTAAGCACTAAATCTGCTCCTCTATAAGCTCCATTTTCCAACAATGCCTTTATAATCATAAATTTATACATTTTTAATTTTAAAAACTCCACCATTTTATAATATATTTTTCTACCTGGGTGTAAAGTGTAAAACTTTCAGGAATATCTGGGTAATTAATCACAAAATCTCCCAATTGTATCAAGAAATGTTTAACATTTGCATTTGATACTCTTTTGGCATGACAGTATTGGGCAAAATAATAATAAATAATAGACAAATCAAAATTAGAATTCAATTCCAGAGATTTCTTGAGATCTTTAACTGCTTTCTTGGTGTTCATTCCTCTTAAATAAATCTAAAAATAATTAATGATTTTTGTTACCATAGTATGATTTTCTGAAAATGTTTACTAATGCTATATATAATACTTGAGCTCTGTGGTGATATACTGCAGAACTGTTGGGATCAATAACTTCAGCACGATTGAAATCCTCAAAAGATTTGTCAACTTCTTCTTGTTGATGATATATTAATGCTCGTTTTATTAAGGAATTTATGATCAACTATCAACAATTTAACTTAATCAATTAAATTTTCAAAAAATAAAAAAATAAAATAAAATTAACAATATTTAACCATGTGTAATCAAACTTTTAAATTAACTGGAAATCTAAATATGTTGAAAACTTCCTATGATTTTCCCCTGTCTACATTATAAAAAAAAAATTATAAATAATGTTCCAATTGCTATTTAAGAAAACAAATGAGTAAAAAAAAAACAAGAATAGACGAAAAACAGTAAAAACTTAATACTTAACTAGTTATGCAGATTTTAAACTATTTTTTTTGAAGGACCATTTTTAATTTTATTTATTTTCTTAGACAAATTGCTCAGTCCGAACAACTGAATCAACTGAATAGAATAAGAAAACCAAATAATAGCATATTAATTATAAATAGAACTATATTTATCAGTAAATATACCATGGATTCTCATGTTAAAATAAGGTATCAAACATCTCAATAAGTATAAGTCAGTATAAGTATTTTATCAATTTTACACTTTAAGTGACATGTTATCTACCCAAGTTGTTATGTCTATTGTGTTATAATTACCCGGACATAATTTATATAGATAATAATATGTCTTTTAATTATCTTAATTACTAATACGAATATAAACTTTATTATTATACCTTGTTCGGAACATTTGGATTTTCGATGACAGTAGTAAGATGTTCAATACCAGCAGCATAATTTCCGCGGAGTAAATAAAAAGTAGCTAATAAGTTTAATGCAAAACTTTCACGAATCAAACTATTATCAGCTTTATTTAATTCTTCTTGACATGCTTTTTCGATTTCTTCGAACTTTTGATTCTGAATACATTTTAATGCATACTCCAAACCTGTACTAAATTAATTAATACATACATTGTATTATATATTTATCATATGTTATAACAACTATTTATTCATTTTTTAATGATAATAAAAGTATATTATGATTAATATTAAATACTGCTTACTTTATGTCTGATTTTAATAATGCCATTGTAAATTCGTCAGAAAATGGATCGTCACAGAATGATTTCAAAAATTGATTAATAAATGTTTTTGATGGTAAATTGAAAGCATTGTGCTTTGTGTATTCTTCCAAATTTTGCTCGCCTGAAAATCAATTTTAACTTATGGTATAATTAAAATTTAAAATATTTGAAGAAATTAATAGTTATCATAAAATTTTTTTTTAGGACAAGTCTTTATCGTAAAAAAATTTTTAAATTTTATATTAGTGAAAAAAATAAATAACCTCACCTAAACTTTTGAGCAGATTATCCGAAAATATTACGTCATCTTGATTTTTATAGTCATCAAAAATAGTCGCAGCTGTAATATCTTCTAAAGCGAGTTTTAAGTTGCCTAATTCTGAAAGTACTCTTGCTCTTCGAGATAACGCTTTTACATAACGTGGTACTAATGCCAGGGCATTGTTACAATCAGCTAAGCAATTTTCATTATTATTCTGAAAATAAAATATAAGCAAATAATACCATTGTTACACCTAATATTTGAAAAAAAGACACCTAGTTTTGCTATGAAAAAATTGACTAAAGTAATAAATTTTATTTACTTACCAATTTACTATAAGCGGCAGCTCGATTTTGAAACAAAACGGACAACGCTGCTTGTTTTGATTCTGGGCACATTAATATAGCTTGTGTATAATATGTTATGGCCATATCATAATTTCTTTTTAAAAATTCTGCATTTCCAAGTTTTTTTAAATCTTCAACCTTTTCTACTAGTGTCTGTGAAAAAAAAACCGTATCAAAAAAAATGTATAATGTGTATTTTAAAATATAATATTATATGAGAATTGTATTCACTTATGTTTAACTAATCTAGATTCTCTAAAAAAAAAAAATTGTGGATACCAACCTTTGTTTTGAAGGCTGTCTGATCGATTCCGTTAGTTTCTGGCGGGTTTTCAACGTTAGCTTCTTTAGCAATACTTGCGTTCGCGGTTGGTTTGTCGAGAAGTCTAGTGTTACCAGACGTTTTGAAATAATTGTAAAATGTAACGCACAGGCCCACCGCGAAACACGGGACGGAGACGGCCAAACCTAATTTCCAGTTACTCAGGAAAACGAAAGATGATCCGCTGGAATCGGACATAGCGTATATAACAAGGAAGACCGGTATTAAAAAAATTAGCGTGAAACAGGTATTCGATAGCGTTATCGATCACTTGTTTTTTGATTACTCTGATGCAATATTAGGTAGGTATTGTCAAACGATAAAAATATATAATAATATAATCCAGAATTAAAAACGAAAAACGAAACAAAAGTTAATAATTAAAAACATACGAAACGATGACTGTTTGTGTTGTTCACGACAAACAGTACATATGTATGCAGTAGGAAATAATATTAAGTCCGGATAACTTAACCGAAGGTAAACACACAAAATGGTACTGAAGGATAGCACCTACTACGATTAAACTCATTAACCATATACAAGTTGAGAATCGATCGATATAATTAGAAATCTTCTGAACAAATCAGCTGTTTTAGCTAATCGCTAGTGCTACCAACGGAATCATCTTGTACAATATTACCAATTACATTGCCGCGCTGTTTATATCGAATATTCACGAATTATGAATTATCGTCAAGATCACGATCTTTGATATATTATAGTAAAAGTAGTATAATAATGTTATTCTGACGCAGTTGACACTTATCACAACTTTAACAATAATTTTTACATTATTTTTTCTCTTTCTTTTAAATATCAAACTGCACCTAGAACATTTAACAAAAACTAATTAAAAAATGATACAAAATAATAATAGAAATTTAGTCCATGACATTTCGCTGTTGAAAATTGAATTTGACATTTCACTGATTTGGAATTGATATGTTGAAAACTAAATTTGATATTGAGATGTTGAAAAAATTGAATCGACATTTCGCTTTGATCTCCAAAAATATTTTGTTTTATATTTATTTATTAATTCATTTATAAATCATTATTATTATATTGACTTCAAGATTTAAAGTAAAATGTACACACACTTATTTCTATTATTGGCTTCAAAGGTTCATCAACAACGCTTTCAACTGGACGAAACGTTGGAAGATTAAAATTAACAGTGAAAAATCGGTGCACGCAAATTAAACCTTGCGTATAAACCGATATTACTAGATCAGCAGAGCATAGTGTGAATCAGCAATATATCTAGGAATGCACCTGGACTCTCGGCTCAACTGGAAGCACCACGTTAGACAGTAAAAACTGCAAATTAAGAAGAAAGTGCGACAATTATATTGGCTGGTCGGAAAACATTCTGAACTAAATCTCACAAGTAAATGCCTCTTGTACGTAATGATAATTAAACCAATATAGACATATGGAATTCAACTGTGGGGTTGTGCCAGCAAGTCCAATATTGAGATTATACAACGTTGCCAGAACATCACTCTCCGTATCATTGTCGCAGCTTACCGGCATGATAGAAACGACATTATCCATTGAGATATGATGATTACCTTCGTCCAGGATGAGATTACCAAGTTTTCCGCAAACATGATAAAAGACTGGATCAACACATCAATCCAGTAGCAATTCAACTACTAGAAAACTTTCTAGACATTAGGCGTCTCAAACGTCGAAGACCATATGGCTTAGTATAAGATTCTTAGACTAAGATGGGGCCACTCTACTAGGAGTGAGATTCCACATATGTTAAGGGTAATACGTAAAAATATAACATATTAATTTTGACTTGTTTTAAGATTTATATGAATCCTTATTTTTAATTCAAATCAAAAAATGATTATCACTGTTAATAAAAACTTTGAAATAATATTCCAATTGAAAAGATCTTTAAAAAATAAACTGCTAACTATAAATAACTGCTGTTTTAGAGCACTATAGTTTCAATATAGTAATAAAAGAAACTTTTAAATCATAAATAAGCAATAAACATGTATTTTTATTTATTAAAAACTATTAAATAATAATATTTATATATTTACAATATTTATGATTAGAAATCTTTATAAATTATTAAAAAAAACATTGGCATTGTAAATTAAAATTATATATATATCTATATATTATTTAAAATAAATATAATATAAAATGATAATTGAATTATAATCAATAATTGTTATCTTAATTTCGAAGAGAATTTTAAATTAATATAGTACAATATAAACACAATTGTTTTCAATTCACCAATTTATTTAATTTATTATTATTATTATTTGTATATATATATTTAAAAGGATAAAATAACCATTTACTAATTAATACTAATTTTAATACAATTTCATTTTTACCTTATTTTTTTTATTAAAGATTAATCATATTTATATGAATAGATATTTTTTATTTTAACGTAAAATAATATTCCCACTTATTAAATGTTCATTACAATAATCAACCAGAATGATATTTTCTATTTTCTTATACAATTTTATCATAAATTCCTAATAAATTAAGAACAATTTTACTAATTATTTTACCATTATTAAAAAAAATCTATATTTTGAAGAATTCAACTGTTCTCATTAATTAAATTGTATTTTTAATATTTATTAAAACATATTTTACACAAATTTGAATAGGAATAAATCCAGTTGAATATTAATTTATTGATGTAGGACAAATTTTTATTATCATTTGTTTCCTACATTTTAGTATTAATTTGTATTTAATACAAATAATAGATAAAATAATGTTAATAAATGTATATAAAATTTCAAAAATTAATGACAAATTATTTTATAAACTAACAATTTTAAATAAGTAAATATATTTTAAACATTTTTAGTTTAATATTTTTTTTCAACAGTTATTTTTAAATATTTAAAAAAAATATGTTGTCAGTTTAATATAATTTTGACAAATTAAATGCAATTATTATACCCCTTACAGATTGAAAAAAATTTGTCATTGTTTTTAAATTTACTTGTATTACTTTCTTATATTCTAAGAAAACACTAAACAGGTATTGAAAATAAAAATTACCTTATTTTACTAAGAAATTGAATGTTACAACCTTCACAGTCATGTGAGACTGGTCTAAATAAAGAAGTAATGAGAAATATGCAAAACCAAAATAACCGAACCACCACTATAATATGGCGGTCTATAAGGGATACAATAAAAATAGTATAGACATTTAGAACAGTATATACAGATGTAGTGTTTGAAATGTGTGAGTAAAGTGTCTGTTTTCGTCCATATCCAGAAGTTGAGGCTGGTGGAACAGTTCATTTAAGTTTGAGGATGTATACAATTTTCTTATTTGGTCCATTTTTTGCTTACAAGTATACATAGCTCCTTTTAAACACCTAAAAATTAAATTTTGAATATACTAATATTATAATAGTATTTTACTAAAAATATAATATATTAACTATTGAAATGGATCGAAATAATTTTTTTCATATAATTCTTATGTACGCATATCTATTATTCATTGCTCAACTAAATTTCATTGAAAACCCTCTAATTAAAATTAAATTGATACATTGCTAATATCTGCACAACAAAATTAGAGTAGTTGAACAAAAAGTATATTTGGTTTTGTTAAAAATTGGTTATTATACCTGTTTATTTATTATGGTAAACTCTTAACATTCTAATCTAGTAAATTATTTATGTATATAATATGTAATTTTCTTACTTTATTAAAATAAGTTTGTAATTAATCTCTCTTTTTTAACAATAATGTTTTCATGCTATTTAGCTTATAATATTCAAGTTTCAAATTTTTTAAAAGTTATTGAAATAATAAGAAATGTCTATATTCAAATTAAAATAATATATCTAATGACATAATTGGTAATATCAATAATAGTACTTAAGTATTATAACGCATTATTTTTTTTCTATTTTTTAATTATCAGCACCACCCATACAATAGTTTTTGTCTTCAATTTTATATTAAACTTACTTCTTCATGGCTTGAACATATAAACCTTCGGCTGAATTTAATGTAGAACTTGAGCTACACATTGTTCTTCAAGAATATTCGGCAGACTCTTCATTTTTGTGTAATTTGACAGTGAAGTATTATTAAGTTACCTATATTTTTGTATCAATCAATTAATACTATTTACGACCAGTGACAATTTTATTTGTAAACTAAAAAAAAAAAAATTAATTAGGTTCATTTTTTCAAATTTGTAAGTAATAATATTAATGATTTTATTATTAATTAAATTGTTAAGAACATGTATGAATAAAATTACAAATTTAATAAATTCAATATTTATAAATTTGGACACACTATTGACCAGGCTAAAAAGTACAAAACTAAATTTTTTTTTATTGCTTTTTAGGTCATTGAGGCCATTTTAAACTTCTATTAAGTTCCTCTATTTATCATGATTAATAGTAGTCTCAAGTTTTGAGTTTTGCCTGTCCGTCTATCATTTTAGATTCTAAGCGGAGGAATGTATTGGTTTTACAATAATTTTTCTTTTTGTTTTTTACTATAGTACTTTAGGGAGGTCATTTTTTGATTTTCCTAATAAATGGAGAAAAACCTAAGAAAACCAAGAAAATAGCTACAATATTAAATAAATATTATTAAAGAAAATATATAATGCATATGTAATTATTTTGGCATAATATGTCATATATATTGTTGACAAAGCAATAATATTAACCAAACCCCACTCAAAATCGATTTTAGTTGCAATGGTAAATCGCTGTGTACTGATATGTATTAAATTTTCCTTCTACCTTTCAAACTTCTCACCTATAACAGTGACCAACCCTCGTGCGAAGCATGTCTGTCTTTTTACATCTGCATTTACTCTATCTTACTATCGTTGTCAAGGTCTACCCCTAGGACGTTTGCCAGTTGGTTTGGAAATTAGTACTTTCAGAATTATATTCTCCAATAATCCAACTATCCAATAACTGTTCTTAAATTTAATTTGATGTATAAGTTGTGAATTAATTCTTTCTAGAATACTTACCTCTTTATTTTGTTTTTGAAATATTTAACCGATGTCTGTACATTTTCATAGTTAGATCATTTTTCTTCAATTATATTTTTGAATTTGAAAAGCTGTAAGTGGCAGCGGTAACATGGTTTAGTAAATAGGTACTGCCATTGTAGTAAAGGAAAATTTACAAAAAATTAAGTACACGGATCACAATAATAGAGTTTTTGCTTAAGTATTAAATACTAAAAAATTGACCTGAAATAGTTTCGCAAGATAAGAATCTAATGATAATAATATTGGGATCAGTAATACCAACATAGAAACCTTTATTCTCGGTAAATTATACAATTATGATAACAATCCTAGAATAATTGTATATATTTTATTTATTTTCATTCAAATTCAACTATTATTATATAATTATTGTATGATTAAAAACCACACAGCGGCGGCGGTGCCTTTCTTACGCGTGAGCGTGCTTTATAGTCTATCAATCGAATCTCAATATCATTGCATTTTCAATTTTTGCATGGAAATTAATTGTTTAAATCATATAAGTATATTATAAATGTGGTCATGTGAGGTTAAATAAAAACATTTTTACTCAAAATTATACTTTTCTTGCCTAATGATATAATTTTTTGAAAGTGGCCATGGACTTTTAATGAAAATACCAGTATGTAACATGTACAATGGTAAATATTGAAATGCAATATTCATTAACAATTAATTACAATTATTACAATATGAAGACCTACATTCTAAAAAATGTAGATGGCTTTTCTTTTGTCTTATTTTATTTTGGAAAATTATTGATAATTATTTTGGTGTACTTGCTGCTTCATCATCATAGAAACGAAATCAAAAAAAATAAACAACTAGTTATTGAAATTGCATGAGTATTACAAGGAACATGTTGTTATCCAATATTTCATCTATTACATAGTTGTAGCAATCTGGATAACCTACATTTTTAGAAAAGCTTTCTTCAATTTTTAATAATGACCTATGAAGATACGAACTTGGGTAAATTAGATTTCCTCTCGATTTAATTTCTGTTAGCATAGATCATAGAAAAGAGATAGATATATATAGATGCATTATATGTAGGTCAAATACGTAAGGTTTGGGTGAAATACTAGTAAAAACCATAGTAATTCAGTTGAACACTAGATAGCGCGAGCGCATAAAGAAGGCTCCGTGAAGTTTGAGGAGAAATAATTTTGTATTAATGGTATAGGCGTGTACAGTCCTTGTGTGTACATCCTTGTTAATAACTATATTTTATGTGTTCTCATATTTTAATAAGATTTTGATTCTAGTTTAATTTACATAATATGCATTTAAAATTATGAACTTTTGTATCAACTACTCAAAGGTTAAAATAAATGTTGAGGCTCATTTAGAAACGCAAATATTACAACAGTGAATAGAATGGCATTTTGATTAATGCGCAAAGCATTAATACATACATTATATGTGTAATATTCAGATAAACGACATGTGAATTTGTGTATTTCATTTTAATTATACTAATAAGTATTTCCTTAATTACATTTAAATATATTTCAGGTTTCTAGTCAATCAATGAAATAAGAAAATAAAATATAAAAACAAGAAACAGTTACAATAAAAATATTGTCAACGCTATTGATTGGTAATCACTGAATGAATGCAGGCATTATTGAAGTGTGACTAAAATCTCTACTTACTTTACCATTTACATATGGTTCTATATTTGATAGTCATTAATTGATTGCAAAACTTTAAACTTGTTTAGAGATACTGTAAACTGAAAAGTAGAAAATAATGGTCATAGATGTCTATACATTTAATACAGAATAAGTCAAATACACAAAATAATCTTTATGTTTTTGTTACCAGCTCATTTGAATGCTTCAGTTTTAGATGTGAAAAGTAAGTGATTATTTTTAAATTTTTATTGTACTTATACTGTTATGTTTTATTGTTTTATAATTAATGAATTGAAATCAATAAAAAATGTAAGTATATACCTTATATTATAGTTGAATTTTCCTCTAGTTACTTTTTATTTCCTTTATCATATTGTAAAATAACTATATAACAACAAATAAAAATTAATATTCTAGTTTTGTGATTAAATGGAAGCAACTATAATCTTCTTATACATGCACTAACTATACTAGACCAAATATGCCTTAATATGATAAGGGCTGGTAATAATAATTTGGTCAGGTGAAGTCAAATGTTTAGTATACTTATTGTTTATTATTAATGCATTTAATAATATTTATACATAAAGCTAATGAATAAATATATTTTTGTTTCAGATGATGAACAAACTGTTGAGAATGAACAATAAAAATGGTTTAACAATTTCAGTTTTCAACCTAAAGCTTCAAAATTAATAAGAAATAATATTAAAGAAAATTAAGTCTATAAAAAAATGTTCTAAATTTATACTGTAAATTGTATAAAAAAATTAAACAGAAAAACAAAACATATTAAACAACCAAAGTAAGTTAAAAGTTACTTTGAAGATCTAAATTTGCTTATTACATTTTAAATCATTAAAGAATATATAACATAGAAGACATTTCATAACATTTTGTTTTTATTACAATTGATTAAAAAAAAAATGTAATTTAAAAGTTAAGAAGTTATATAGACTTATAGTTCCTATGTAAGAGAAATGTAATAAATTGTGTTAGATACCTTAAATCTATAACTACCATTTTTTTTATTTAGGTTTCACTTTAGTAATTTGTATTTTGCTTTTGATAATCATGATTAATGGTTTAATATTTCTTCTAATCAAAAATTAATTAAAAGACAATATGCATAGAAAGAGAAGGATCCTGGTGATGAAAATATTAAGGTACACATGGAAGCAGATTGTTAAATTTGAAATTAAAAATTAATGCTATTAAAATACCCAACCTCCAAAAAAATTAATGAAGTATATTAAACTGAGTTGAATCCAATAAAATGTGAAAATTACTGTACTGGCTGGTGAATATAATAAACAGTTACTAGAAAATCCATATGATATTGTTTTATAGATTCAATTTGTAAATCATCAAATTAGATTTAATTCAATAGAATATACATTCTAGTTTTTAAACTAAGCAATATAGTAGTTTTAACTACTACATTGTACTAGTTTTAATTTCAATAATATTGTTTCACAGCAAATTTTGTGTTCCTTAAACAGCAGACATTGTTATGCATTTACATTAATCAAAGAGTTTCCATAGAAATGCAGATTAGATAGAGCACTTTAATTTAATATTGATTTTGATAAATTACTAGATATGGAATGGATATTTGATATAAATTGTATTACACCAGAAGAAATAAGATCCTGTAAAGTATTTTGAAAATAAAATGATATCTAATTTTATTGTATTATTTATATTTTATTTTTAATTAATTGATAGGTATTTAAAAAATTAGTAAAATCTTCAAATAAAACTGTATGTAGTCATTGTATAAATATTGTATGAAAGCCAAAATTCTTTATGGGATTGTACGATTTTAAGTGTATTTAAATAGTGCTAAGATATAATATTCACTCTAAATAAAAAAAATAAAATCTACACCCACCTTTAAATGAGCAATTGATAAATATACAGAAAAATTTTTTTGGTTAGTTTAACATGGTATTGATTAAAATTACTGACTAACAGTATAACAAATAACTTTATTTTTATAATTTAATATCATATTGTATAATTGGAGTGTTTCAGAACTGTTTGTGTAGTTTATTTTTTAGAAAGGCAGGAAATTATCAACATTTTTTTAATTTATGATAATGAAATCAATGCCCTGAATAAAGCTTAGTATTGCAATATAATAGAAAATTGAAAGGTAAAAAAGTAATCTAAAAATAAAAAATAAAAAGATAAAAAGGTTTGAAGTAAGGCTATGATAATTTAGTTACAAAACAGAAATAAAGAAAGGAGACCAGTAGTTAGTTAATAATTGTATACAGGTGATTTTTGTTTTATCATGAACCAGCAATTATCCCAGAGGATTTTAAATGATTTGATTTCTGTTTTTTCTTATCTTTATGGAATTATTTAAGTTTTATTTTAAAACAATTTTTAATTTTTTACCCTACTACATATATCATAAATAGGGCTAGGGATTTCTTGCCCTAAAAAACCTTACAATATGCATGCGTTTATGCCCTTAAAAATGATCATATATGCTATTAAAATANTACACTATTATTTTTATTTCTTCTTTATGCTTTCCATTAAACAGAAAAAAAAAAACAAAAATTTCAATTATAAATGCATATTGTTTTAATGATTTAATAATTTTTTAAATCTTACCCAAATGAATTGCACTGCATCACTAAAATTTGTCTTATATTTGCAAACGTAAATGACTGGCTATTGTTCGCTAATAAATTTTTGTATCTTGAAAATGAACGCTCGACATCAACAGATGTTAGTGGAGCGAATTTATAGAACTATAAGTCGTTGAGTTGCAAGTTTTCAAGATTTTCCATAGAATTGTCTATTCCTTCTAAAATATTGGAAATATTTTCATTAATTTTAAATCCTTCAATTTTTGATAGTACATTTTCTAATTTTTTGTAAATAGCCTTTCCTTTTGCTCCTTGTGGACTTAGTAATTTTTCTTTAACAGTTTTTACGATGGAATAGACTCAGATAGCATCATGTTTTGTTTTTCCAAATTTGTAATATAAGTCGAAAGAAAACTATAGTTTAAAGAAATAAATGTCAAGTTTGTTTTCAAATCTGGGTTGTTAAAAATATCTTTAGCTTTTTTGATGCTGATCGCGTCATTTTCATCTAACTTGTTAATAATATTTTTTATAACTTCATAATTCTCACAATATTATTTAGCCGCATCCAACCATGTTCCCCAACGAGTTAAAATCGGTTGTGGTGACATTGGGATGTCAGGAGCTTCATTTTTAAATATACGAGTTCGAGATGGTGTTTTCAAAAATACTTTTTTTACACTAGATATTAGTTGGTTAACTGTGTTGAAATATGAACGTACTTCTTCGGCTACTCGACGAAATCCATGTACTATACATGTTACATGTACCATCATTGATTAAAGTGCTTGAATTGCTTTTCCCGATTTCACCATATACGGCGCAGCGTCAGACAAAAATAATAAGACTTTATCATGTTGAACGCCTTGTGGCCATAACAAATGCATGGATTTATCAAAAAGTTTAAAAATAGTTTGATAGTTGGCTTATTTTAATTCTTCTGTATTTAACAAAAATATCTCACCCGGTCCATTAGTTAGTAAAACTCCTATAATAACATTGGTTACGAAGCGATCTTCAACGTTGGTCATCTCGTCAATAGATACCCATATTTTGTTATTTGATACATGATTTCATATTTGTTCTAAAGTATCTTTATAACAGTCATCTACGTAACCTCTACGAAGAGTAGCTTTCTTTGGAATTTCTTTTCCTGTATACTCTTGTAAAAATGCTCTACATTTTACATTTTCTATTTTGTGTAAAGGAATATTAGCTATTACTAGGAATTTTCAAGTCTCTACGAATATTTTTAACTGAATTATAATGAAAAACAAAATTAAAAATAATAAAAACATTATTTTAGTAAAGTTTTCCGTTTTTCTTAAGTTTTATCTTGGACTTTCCTGCTATTATGAAAGCTGATTGGAAACTTAAAAAGTGACCTTCCTAATGTACCATTTAGTCAATATGACAATATTATCTTTAGAAAAGGGTGCTGCACTTACATATTGAAGCAAGATTTCTGGTAGGAAATATTGTCACAGTATAAAAAAATAAACATCATTATAAATCCAATTGGTACACTCTTGGCTATATTCAAAAATTTAAATTAAATTATTCATTTCTAATTTTGATTCTAAAAATGTATTATTTTATATTATATATTTATAAATTGATTAGTTCCACTTAGTTTTCCATAATTCTCTCTCACCCTTGAGAGAATATTTATTGAAACTTATAAATGAGAATTATTTCATTCTTGTTTTAATTAAAGTATTTCCAAGATCCCTAATCATATTTATGGTATTTGGAACCAGTTGTATTTTTACTTCTTTGTACTTAAGAATTTTGAATATTTTATATAACAAACATATGGTTTATTTGGGGGGGGGGATTGCCATAAAACATAAAATTCTGTACACTATGTACATATTATATATATCATATTAAAATCATCTAGGTATTATCTGCATAGTGAAAATTATTCGAATTGACTAATATCAATTAGATTTTGAAATTTGTTTAACTATTTCAAATTGAACTAGTTCTCCAAAAATATATATTAATTTCCCTGTGTAGTGTGTACACTCATCAAATATAAATAATTGGTTGATAGGTAGGTATTAGATTAATAGGTTCTATTACCTCAACTGGTTTATCATAGTTAAAATATCACACAAATTATATTATGTTATGTTCTTGTATGATTTACTAAATGGTTATATAAACTTACCCCAGTTACTTTTTATGATTGGTTTTAGTTCTAACAAATTTGTTCTTTGTTACATTTTATAACAACAATTATATATAGTTCCGAATAACTTTAGCTAATAATATTATTCATATTCATAATTCATATTGATTTATTTTTTTATATTACGTCATGTTCTTAAGAAAAATGTTTATGTAGCTTTGAATAATTCTAATGTACATTTTTTGTTACGTTTATTATCACCTTACTTTCATATTTTGTTATTTTAATTAATATTTCTATCTTTATAATGTGTATGTATGCAACTGTCTGTTCCTTATGTAATTTTTCATGAAATTATTATCACCACTGTACTAGGGTTCTTACCCGTTTATAAATAAAAATAAAATAAAATAATATAAATTAAAATTAAAATAAAATTGCTAAAATTTAAAATGTATGTACCAGATTTACAAAATATGAAAAAATTGGTGAAATGCTTTTTATTGAGTATTCCGACCAGTGGGTGTTCATTTGTCTATCAGATGTGCATGATTAGGCCACTGCATTTACACATTGCATACAGTATTAGTATCGCGTAAACTAAAATTACCAACTGCCATATAAGCAAGTACATGATAAGTATAATACTGTTAATGATAATACGTATCTATAGTTTTTGACGTGTCATGTAATTGTAATTATTTTGAACTATTTGTAGGTACTTGTAATTTTTAACATGGGCAAAGCTGCTTACAAATGCTGTGTGAAAGGATGCACCAATATAGGTAAGGTATTTTATTAATTGTTGCCATAAGCTAATATAAATCTGTGATTAATATTAAAAATATCATTACCTTTAAGGTGGCATTTCACATAGATTTCCTAATCCAAGAAAAAATTTACAACTCCAAAAAAAGTGGATTCAACTTTTAGGATCTGATGAATTTAAAGGGTTATCACCAAATGATATTTATTATAAAAAAAGAATATGTTCCATCCATTTTAGTAGCAATTGTTACAGTGCCGGTACTAAAGTTCTAAACTTTAATGCGGTTCCTTCATTGAACCTAAGTAATAATTATTATTCAATAGTAATAAATTAATTAATTTGGTATACATTTATTTTATTTCATTTGTCTAGTGGTTATTGATGAAATTTCTTCCACTGATACAAATGAAACCAATAATTGTTGTAATTTGGCTGAGACCAATGAAAATCCAAGTAGTACTTGCTCTATTAAACCTACTGGTAAATAAAGTCATTAAATTTCATTAAGACATTAGTAGAATGTTTCTGAAGAATGCTCCTACCCAAACTAGATCTATTTATAACAAAAAAAAAGCGAAGAGTGGGTCCATGATGGAACCAACTGAAAAAAAAAAATAGAAGGATCTCAATAACTCCACTCCCAGATTCAATCACAGTCAAGTCAGTGAAACATTCTAAAGAAAATCAACCAAGACATAGACATAGAGACAATCGGCGCACAGGTATTGTCGATTATTAAAAGCCGAAAAGGAGAACTTAATCAGACTGAGTTCCAAAGACATCAAGAGATCAGAATACGGCGTTAAGAAACAATCTCAGGTCAAGTGCTGTGCAAGTTCGGTTATGTTGAAATACAAGACTTAGACTGCGTGACAAGGGACATAGAAGTGGAGAAATGCATCCGGAAAACTTGTAGGCGTATCCGTAGACGATCAGTCCATTAAAGTTAAAAGCATCTACCAATCCTTTATGAGGACACAAAGAGCTACTGTCAGTTTTAAGAGCGTAGATGCACTGAAACTGTTAGAGAGAGAACTTATCAAAGTAATGTGGATCAGCGCCAGAGTAAAATTAAAAGTCAGTTCTATAAAGAGGTTCAGATGCCTTGGCTATGACCACACCAGATACTCCTGCAAAAGACCAGATCATTTTGAAGTCTTCAGAGAAGACTCCTACTTAATGAAGGCCAGTGGAGAATTGACATCATAAATTTTAAACTAGCAGATAGTCGCATATAACACAATATATTTCTGTGCCTCCACAACATATCTAGTTAAGCCTTTAAAATTATAAAAGCACTCAATTCTAAGGTTCTAATTAATATATACAATAGATTTTTGACCGAAGACATCTTCTTTTAAAAGTGAAATCAGACAAGGCTCGTATTACTGAGGAAAGAAGGGAAGCCTCTAGACAATCCAGCTTCCTATAAACTGCTGATCGCTTGATCGCTTAGATAAGCTATTCGAAAAGATCCTAGACAACCAGCTAAGGTATCATCTAGATGAAATCGGTGGCTTGGACAACAGGCAATTTGGAATTTGCAAAGGTCGTTCGACCCTTGATGTACTGGATACCCTGAGGTCCACCATAAGAGAAAGCAATCACAAAGCTGGTAAACTTACAAACGAGATAAGAAACACTATTAACACTACTTCCTGGACGGCGATATTGGACGCTATAAGGGAGGAGGAAGTCTCAGTGTACCCATAAATAATCATAAGCAGTTATCTCGATTAGGTTAGAAGTAACAAGTGGTATACCACAAGACTCAGTCCTCGCCCCAACCTTGTGAAACATAATGTACGATGGACTTCTTAGAACATGCTTATTAATATGCTTAGAACTTATTCAGAAAGAAGTGTTTTCAATGTGGTAAGCTAAATAATTACAGAGTTAGTAATAAGTAAAATGGAATGAACATTTGTAATAATAGCGATGCAACTTAATAGTTGTTTCAAATATTTATGAAAAAAATAATTGTAAAGAGGTATGGTTTCTAAATTTACAATTTAATCAGTGCTAAAATTGTTACAGGATCTGATATTGATATATTACTTTTAAGTGTTTTCAATGTTGTTAAAAATAGATAAATTATTGAGAAAATTAATTTTAAAATTCAGACTTATGGGGGTTATGTTATTAAATGTAGTGGAACTGTAGATTTAAATTGAAAAATTAATAATATGAAAATGTATTAATTAAATGTATTATAGTTGATGACGTTAACTAGAATAAGTGTATACTGATATTAGGTTTAAATACTTTTATGAAATATAATGTTATTAATAGGATACAATTTAATAATATAATAATGGAAAATGGAATAAAATATATATTAGAGGTGTATAAACTAGTTTTTGAAGATTTAGACAAGTTTCCTGGTGAGTACAAAATTAGAATTAAGGATATTTGTGAAGAATTGTTAAATCCACTTAGGAGAGTGCCAGAAAGTATTAAGTCAGAGCTTAGAAAGTCATTAGATTAAATGGTTAAATTAAGTTTGATCAAATCTGTGGAAAGACCAGGCAAATAGTCAAGCAATATAGTTGTCGAAAAACATATCAAAAAGTTGAGAATCTATTTAGATCCTTTAGAGTTAAACAAGGTTATTATTCATGATCATTTTTTTATTTTTACCATGGATGAAATTAGAATGAGTTGGATAAAAACAAAAAAATATAGTTTTTACTTTTGAATTTAAAAAGTGGATTCTGGAAAATTCAACTAAATGAAGAGTTAAAAAATTAGTGCACATTTAGTGCACTTTTTGGATTTTATAAATTCAAAAGATTTCCATTTGTAATCTTGTGTTTATCCTAAGAAATTTCAAAAACAAAATCAAAAAAACTTTGGAGATATTGAAAACATAAAAATATTATTTAATATTTAATATTTATTATATTTTAATGATATTTCAGTAATAACTGAGGATGATGTGTCACATGAGAAAACTGTTTGAGAAGTGTTAGAGCTTGGTAAAAAATTAATTATAAAATTGAACTAAATAAATTTGTGTACAAACAAAAAGAAATTAGTTATTTTGATATGGTATTTAGTGAGAGTGGTATAAAAGTAGACCTGGAAAGAGCAGAAGCAATAAGAAAATTAAAAAACCCTAAAAATAAATTTTAGTTACAAAAAATCTGAGGTATGCTTAATTTTTTAAGACAATTCATTTCGGATATGTTAAGTGTAGTAACATCTTTTAGAGAGTTATTAAAGACAAATGTAAGCTGAGAGTGGGGTAATGTACACTCATAGGTATAAACAAATTAATCAAATAATTATTAATCTACCTGTACTCAGTTATTTTGATTATCAGGAAGCTAATTTCCAGTGCATACAAATATTTTAGAGAAGAAAGTGATAAAAAAAAAAATAATAAACCAAGGGTGAAAAGTATAAAGAAAATTACAAAAAACATTATGATATTAAGGCAAAAGAAAATTCAGAGTTTAAGGCAGGAGAAACAATAGTCATAAGGAAAAAATATTTAGAAGTAGTTATAAAAAAAAAATCGCCCCAAATTTTATATTGTTAAAGTAAAAAAATGGTGGAGAACTGAGAAGGACTTCATGGTATTTAAGAAAGTCAAGTGCTCAAGTGTACAATTATAATTATAGTGATAATGATGAAATTGTAGTTGAGAAAGAAAATATTGGATGTAGTTTAACAAAAAATAGAGAAAATTGGAAAAAAAAAATATTTTTGAGGAAATAAGGCCAAAATACTCAGGAACAATTGACTCTGAAGAACATAAAACACTGTTCAGTAGGAATATAAAAGGAAAACAATTCTCTGATTATGAATATTATTAACTTTTGGAGTATTATTTATTAATGTTAAAAAGTTTATTTATTTTGTTTAGTTATTCATATTTGTAATAAAATTGTACTTGTTAAAATAGTATACTACCTTTAAATAAGAGAATGTTGTATAAGGAATATCACTGTTATGATAACATTGTTGTGTATATACCTAGATATTAAGTTAACCTTTAAGGTATAAATAAAATTGGTATTCGTTATTCCAAAATGTTAATAACAAAATTAAAATCTATTACGGTATGCTGTAATGTTGCAAAAACTAATTCGTAACAAAAAAAAAAAATTAAGGACCGTCTTAAAGTAGCTAAACATTTTTCTGATCAATATTTGGATTCTAAAATTATTGGACGTATAATACTCGTAACAGCTTTATTTACCAAACAATGAAACTCAGAATGTTCCCAAAAGTCACAGATTTATTTTTCAAGGGAAGCTATTTTGTTCATTGTATATGTAAAATCGTACCTATATTGCTTTCCAAACGCTTCACATTACCAGCGCGTAAAACCTTATCAATATTGTTGTCCCAATTTCCTATAAATATAAGATTAGACAAAACTCTTTTAAAAGTTTTAACAAATAATGTAAAAACTTTACCCCTAGGGGGACACTGTGTGTTACGGGTTTAGTGAACCCAGAGCCCCGAGCTGAGGCATACGGAAAGTGGCGATCCCACCGCTCAGTGCTCTTAACCAGGTGCTTCAATAGCCGCCACTCTGGTCTTAATTAATTTGAATGATATGGCCCTCCAGTTTGGGGGTTTGGCGTAGGGCTAATAACCCTACCCTGTAAAAAACCATTTGTTCAGGTACCACTAATAATATTCCTCGAAACAGTGGAGTTCGGAATAACAAGGTTTAAAACTTTGAAAACTAAAAAATGTACTTACATCTTGGAAAATATGAAACGTACGAACACTCTTTAAGACCGAATCAATTGTATTGTGCGAAAAATAGAAAGATAGTTAAATTAGTAGCATTGAAGGATATTTAATGAAGTGATACGGGTTCAATAAATACTGGTGATACCACAATTGTATATGGGATGTATAACGACAGTTTGGAACAGGCTTTACAATTCATAAAAGCCTGGTACCGGTCATATGTGAGTTTAGACATATTAACTCAAGAATTGGGTTGATATCTAATAGTTTTGACTATTAGAGCCCAGTGGTTTGATGTTAGCTTTATAAGCGTGTATGCACCCATTGAGGATAAGACACGAGAGTAAAAGGTTTCTCTTTTATGAAGATTTAGAAAGTACTTTAAATACACTATCAAATAATAATATACATATATAACTGGGAGACCTAAATGAGAAGATAGTAAAGGAAATAGCTTTCAAACCAACAATCAGTTCAAATAGTCTATATGAAATAATAAATGATAATGTGCCTTAGAATTACTGATTTAGATACTGGGAAAGGTCTTCTAATAAAAAGTATGATGTTCCTCATATGAACACCCATAAAGGAATTTGAAGGTCACCAGACGGGATATATAAAAATCAAATAAATCATATTTTAATAATTTTAAGATTTAATAACTGCATATAAGATATAAGAACGGTCATTGGAGCGGACTGCGACTCCAATCATAACCTAGAGAAAGTCAAAATGAAACTAAAACTAAAAAAGAAAGAAAGAAGAGAGAAAATAAATCTAGACAATTACGAAATCTCCAAACTTAGATATAAAATACTTAGTAACGTTTTTAAAAACGAGATGTGCAATCAAATTGGCAAGATAAATCCTAGTATGATGGACACAGTAGACAATATACAGAAAGCTATACAAAGCACGATCAAGTCAGTATTCAAAAAAACAATAGGTATTGTTGCGGGTGTATTTTCAAACTCTGAGTCAGGTAGTAGTTGAAAGATAGAATCCGATGATTTTACAAGTATATTTATTTTAGTTGAAAGATATCTAAACACTTTTAATTAATTTAAAATATAGCCTAACGTGAAGGTGCTCGTAGATGATAGTGGTAAGTTTTGTCTGAAAAGTAGTTCTGGGTGGCCAGTATATATACCAAGGACCCCTCCCAGCTAGATATGCTTAGTCCGCGTTTTTTGACAATAACTAGTTGTTGCGTAGTCAGATGATAACCTCGGAAATTGGCCCTTGCATCCGGGTCTTGCAAGAATATGCGTATAGGTATCCCCCATCGGCAATCGTTTTAATTTACGAGTCAAAATAATATACAAATCTCACTATAGCCGCTCGCATTGCTGCGTAATTCCTATAAAAGTATATTGTTCGAGGACCATTCTGCAATACCTGAGAGTCGGCCTCGGTGTTAGGCAGATTTATGGATCCAGCCTGTTTGGTGAAATGTAGATTTGGCATGTAAGGTAATTATACCTGTCTAATTTGACCCTGGATATAAATCACCTAGGTATTACTGTACTACAGACCTATATCCTACGCTGTAAAATATTATATATGTTTGGAAAACGAGCGGCCGCTTGTAACAGTATTACGAAGAAAAAACCCCAATAAGCTTCGGTTTAATGAAATATGTGAGATAGTTCTAAACAAAAGAAAAAAACGCTAGAAATACATAACTGAATGATTCTCTTAATTAAGAGAAAGAAAGACGGTACAAAAAATGTCAAAAGGAAGCAAACAAAGTCTTTAGAAATGAAAAATGTAAATATATACAGGACATATCAATGGAAATGAATCAATATCATCGAGATAACAGAACGAGATGAATGTATCAGAATATCAACAAGATCAGTGGATGTTTCAAGAAACGGAATAATTACTTAGCGGGAGAAGAATGAACTCTAATAAAATCACAGCAGGATATAGAGAAAAAATGGACTGCATACTTTGAAAATTTACTCAATTGTGAAGAACCAGCAGAGACGTTTTACAAATGGAAGACTGTATATAACGATGAACGAAGACATGTACCCTCCACCAACAATACAAGAAATCGAATGACAGATTCAAAGACCGAAGAACAATAGTCTGAAGAATCGTCTGGATTAGATAGGATTCAGATACAGTACCACAGAATTATTATTAGTTATTCTGTATAAGTACTAATAACTAATCAGTACCTATTAGGTTAAATAGGAGTGATGAATTGCGAGCGATAGGAGCGGATTTGTGATAGTTTAATTTACAATATATGCATATGACCGGTCATTATTTTGCTTTAACTTAATGGGTGGTGATGGTAACTAATTTTTATACTTTGCCCCACCAAATGAAATACATGTCGGTGCCACTACCACGGCCTATTACAGGTATACTGGTGAAGTAAGTCAGTATTTCCAACGAGTTTTTTATTATATAAACATAAAGACTTTAATTTGAAAAAAAAAAAATAATAAAAACGAACAAACAAACAAAATAGGTATAAGTAAATTTCACTTTAGTGTATTTTTTTTTTCACAATTCATACATAATATTATTATACTATAATATGGTCACGACTTTATTACGTTCTTATACGTAGGCGGAATAAATTTGCAGCCACTACACCGGCACGGGGTACACCGGCTATAACGACGCGTTAAAACAAAACAACAAATAAGTATTAAGTACAATAATAATCATAATAATAATAATAATAATAACAACAACACTGGCGGTCTATCAGACTCTAAAAAAACATAACATGGCGTGGGTACACATCAGTAC